AGATTGATTAGTTTCACCAGAGTACTAGATTTCAATTGATCAGGATCAGCAAATGAATTTTTAATCTCACTAGAAAGACGCAGAAAATGCAGCTCATGTCCTTTGAGGTGAAAGATTCCTGAAGAGAGCAGATAAGACCCAAGATAAAAGAGACTTCACTTGGGGCTGCAGCCATGAACTTAGAGCCAGGGGCCTTTGCCTAAGCTTGATGGAGGACTGGGAGTGGAGTGGAGAGAAGCCACAAAGCTGAACGCTAAAGGATCTAGAAGCACACAACAGAAGTTGTCCTGAGAATTTGTGCCCTATTGCCAGCCTGAGTTGTAACCTGCTACTTCCCTCATAAACCATATAATCATATTTCTGTGACGTCAATATAGCTATTACAATGAATTTTATATCCAGTAAAGCAGTAAAGTTGACCTTAGAATTAACAGTACTAGGTGTGGGATCATGAGGGGAGGGGCATTATCTGAACTCATAGGCATCGTCTTTGTGTTGAGGAAGCTTTTGATGAATCAGTAGAGGTCGGATATAGCTGTCCACACACTGCTCTTACTCTTTCTACAGATTGACACAATGACTGCAACAATGTGCTAGAGCACATTAGAGAGGATGAGAACAACACAGGATAGGGCAGTTGTAGATCTGTTGTTCAGAGTCACTGTGAGTTGTAGTCAACTTGATGACATCTAACAACAGTAACATTCATTAACATTTAAGTCTGAGATATGAAAATCCAGAATGATATTTTTGGGTGCCTCAGTATTTCTTCCATTCTCTCTATCCTTGTGGAATGATGTAATTTTTTTCATTCCTTTAATATCACCATGGCAAGTTTTCAAGAAGTAGAAGAAATATACAAATGTTCCCAAGCCAGCAATCAGTAACATCCCAATCAATCTCCTTTCTATGTAGCCTTTATTTCTTGATCAAAGTGTTCCCAAGTAACACACAGCTCTCAGTTATTTGAATTATTTTCTGCACTTGGCATCCCTATTCACAGAATTCTCACAAATGTAGGCATCATCACGCCTGTGGCCGCCCTCACAATTCCTGATGAAGTTTTGGTGCTCAAATAAGCAATTCCCTCATGCTTACTAATTAAACCCTATTCTGACTCCTAACTTCTGGAAATTATTAGTGTCTTTTTATTTCTATAGTTTTGGGTTACCAGCACAACTTGCAAAGGACTACACCAACAGAGCTCCCTCTGTTCATATAGTTTTGCATGTTTCATGATGACATATGAACAGAATCATATACAGCCTTTGGAATCTAGTTTAGTGTGGTACCTTTGAGATTCATTCATACTACCACATGTATCAGAATTTATAAGCAGCCATTGTATCCATTCACATATTGAAAGATGTTCTAACAATTAAAACTCATACTGTTATAAGGATCCATGTGCAGGATTTTGTTTCTATTTCCTATGGAGCTCTGGGGGCTTAGTGGCAAGAAGCTATGCTGCAATCCCAAGGGCAGGTGGTTTGTGGCTACCAGTTGCTCTTGTAGGAGAAGGATGGGCAACCTCCTCCCCTGTAATTTACAGCCTCCAAAAACCCACTAGAGGGTCATCTGCGGATGGGTTCTGCCTCCACAGTACATAACATAATATTGTACCTATTTAGGAATGGAATACTATCAGGTCCTATGGTATAATTTGTGTTTCATAAAGAGAAGAGCACATAATCCTGATAGATATCAAAGTGGAGTCCAAATTTTATTCTAAATGCAATAAAATGCCCTGGATGGGTGATTTAAAGCAAGAAATGACCTGATCTGCTTTTTAAAAAAAATACTAAATAAATACTTGATAGACAGCACTGACTTTGCATTTAATCCTCTGACAGCTGAGGGTCTTTGTCACCACTCCATCTCAACACTTGCCCAGAGTTCCAGGGCCTTCTTGCCTTGCCTACTCCACATCAAGTAATTTTTTATCTCTGCTGCCCTGAGGGGATGCCTAATGTTAGATTTCACAAAGATATTTTATATTTAAAAAAAAATCCCGAAGAACTCAATTGCCAAAAATTACACTTCATCATAGTGTAACTTTCTACACTAGTGTAACTTTCTGAGCAATAAGATTACTTGAACACTCGTAAGGGCGTTCTGATGGCCCCATAAGTAAGGAGTCACAATGCAAAAACAAAAGCATGTGGCTAGAATCCACCAGTTGCTTTGTGGAAGGCCTCAGAAAACTCACTGGAGGGTCAACTAAGAGTCAGTTTTGATCAACAGTATATACCGATATTAAATAAGGGAGATTTAGTAGCCTACTAGGTAAAGAGTTGCACTGTTAATACAAAGATTGGCAGTTAGAGCCTACCAAGTGCTCTGCGACAGAAAGATGGCAGTCTCCTCCTTCATAATTTATAGCCTCTGAAAACTTGCTGAAGGGTCAGTTCTGATTTGATGGCCATGACTGAGTAAGTGAATGATAAGGAAACAATTCTGTTGGGCAGGATCTCAAATGAAGATCTAGAACAATAGGCAAGACAATAGAGGTGAAAAGAACAGGAAACAAACACTCCACTATATAGGGAGCTCTGGTGGTCTAGTGGTAGGAAGTTACTCTGTTAGCTAAAGGGCAGGTGGTTTAATCCACCAGCTACTCTTCAGAGAAAGATGGACAATCTCCTTCTATGATAATTTATAGCATCTAAAAATCCACCAAGAGTCAGATATGACTCAATGCACACAACAAAAACATATTTTGGGGTTTTTTTCCCTGAACATATATGTTCAGAAACAAGCAGATTATTATTTAGCAGCTAACCTCAACTTCTTATTCTTGTTGCTGCTGGATGCCATCTAGTCAAGTGTGACTCATAGCAATCCTATCTCACATGATCTGAACCTTGTTCTATCTGCGCCATCCTTACACTTCCTGACACACAAGGGCCCATAGCGGCAGTCATCTTGTCAATCCACATAATTGAGAATCTTCCTCTCCTTAGCTGACCCTCCACATTTCCCAGCATTATGCCTTTCTCCAAGGGATAGCATCTCCTAGCAACATGCCCAAAGTATGTGGGGCGAAGCCTCATCATTCTTGCCTACAAAGAGCACTCTGGCTGCACCCTCTCTCCAAGACATACCTGTTTATTCTCTTGATGTTCATGAGATGTTCAGTGCTTTTCTCCAACACTACAGCTCAAAGGTGTCAGTTCTTGTCCTGTCATTGCCAATTACTATTTCATTTTTACCCTTTGCTTCTTAATCTTAATGCTAATATAATTTTGAAATATTCAATATAAAGTGAGAGTGAAAGATTTATTTAATTATTGTAAAATGAAATTCATTAAAGTCATCTGTGTTGTTTGTTTTCAGTAATTGTACATGTGCTGTTTTACACGGCAATTCTTAATGCTTTTTCCACTAATGTAAAAGCCTGATCCTAATGGCCTGTTTTGAATAGCTATATTCTGCCCTGTTTGAACAAGTAGTTTTACTTTGACATAATTTCCTTAGGATAAGAGGAAAACTATGAATGTTAGTAAACACTGAGTAGCACAGTAAATGATGTATAAATCATATTATTTACCAAATTATTGAGTCTTATGTCAAGAAAAGATATTTTCATGATTATATGATAACCTAAGATTTAGTCAAACCAGAAAATTTTTATGTACTGGTTATTTTTCTGTAATCAAAACAAAACAAAAATGCATATTTTTGGCAAAATTTTGTTCATGCAAAGTATTTCAATACTTGTCCAAGTTGAATTTCACTGCCAGAAGTTTAAATAGGATTTAGAAGAGGCCATGACACCAGGGATATCATTGCTAATGTCAGATGGATCCTGGTTGAAAGTGAAGAATAAAAAAAATGTCTCTTTGTTCTTTATTGACTATGCAAAGACTGTGTGGATCATAACAAGTTGTGGTTGACATTGAAAACAACGGGAGTCCGAGAGCACTTCTGCTCATGCGAAACCTACACCTGGACCAGGAGGCTGTTATGCAAACAGAGCAGGGGCACACTGTATGGTTTAAAATTGAGAAGGGAGTATGTCAGGGTTGTATTCTCTCTCCATATCTATTCAATCGGTAAGCTGATCAAATTATTCAAGAAGCTGGATTCGATGAAGAGGATTGTGGCACAGGACTGGAGAGAGAGTCATTAATAACTGTGTTATGCAGATGACACAACCTTGCTTGTTTAAAGTGTGGAAAATGTGCAGCACTTGTTGCAGAAGTTCAAGAAATGCAACATTCAATATGGATTTCATCTCAATGTCAAGAAAACAAAGATTCTTACCACTGGACTGATGGATAACATCATAATAGATGGAGAGGAGATTGAAACTATCAACAGATTCACTTGTTTGGATCCACAATTAACACCCTTGGTACTAGTGGTCAAAAAATAAAAAGACTCATACCACTGGGAAAATCTGCAGTTAGGAACCTCTCAAAATTATTGAGGAGTAATGATGCCGGCTAAGGTGCATCAGATTTAGGCCATACTCTTTCTGATCATTTGCTCTGCATCTGAAAGCTGGACATGAACAAGGATGACAGAAAAATAATTGATGCCTTTCAGCAGTGGTGCTGGAGAAGAGCACTGAACACCCCATAGACAGCCAAGAGAACAAACATATGTCTTGCAGCTGCAGTGCTCTTTGGAGACAAGAATGATGAGGGTTCACCTTACATACTTTGGGCATGTTTCTAGGAGGGGATATTCATTGGAGAAGAAAATAATGCTAGGAAGGGTGGAGGGTTGGTGAAGGAGATGAAAACTCTCAACTATGTGGATTGACATGGTGACTGCTGCAATGGTTCTTGTGTATTAGGAAGTGTAAGGATGGTGCCAGATAGAACAGATTTCAGATCTTTTGTTCATAGGGTCGCTATGAGTAGTACTTAACTCAAAGCACCTAACAACAACAATAGTGTGAATTCACAAAGGAAAATTTGCTCAAAATTTTCAGAAGTAAACATGAAAAGTCAAAGAACTTAATTTTTATATATATAAATAGGATGATTTACCTCTAATGCGAAGCCATACTCTTCTTGTTCTTTGTAGATGCAGCCACGATTAATGAAAGAATTTAATGCTATCTTTTCACCAGTACCAATAAGAAGGACAATTCCATAATCGACTAATGCCTAAAAATTTATTATTATTATTATTATTGTTATTATTATTACTATTACTATTATTATTATTTGGAACCTGATTCAGTTCTTTAGTATCAAAATTGTTAGTAGATAAATGTGTTGATGATACCCAACTAGGATCTTATCGTAGTTCTTCCATTAAACTTCTAATTTATAACCAAAATAACCATAAGCATCCCCTTAGTTAAATATTAGTACTAACACTACTTTATAATAAACAGACACATTGATGTTGTATATCACATGTTATTTGTGAATCACCAATATGCATTAATATGAAAGTTAAAGAGGGATGCAAAACTTACTCACTCAGCAGTCTTATCAAATGACATTAAAGCAAAGTATTTTTATTTCAGTTTTCATTTCTTTTTAGTGTTTTATTATTCTCATCACTAAAATTTAAGCTAGGTGGGGTTGTTGTTGTTATGTGCCGCTGACAGCAACTCTTTCACAATAACTCTGAACCCTGCCCGATCCTGAACCAATCTCACCATCTCCAACACACTTACCTCCATTACCCCAGGTAGTGTGTCAATCCGTCTCATCCAGGGTCTGCCTCTCCTGTGCTGACCCTCCACCCTTCCAAGCATGATGTCCTTCTACAAGGACTGGTCCTTCCTGGCAACCTGCCCAAAGTGTGTGAGATGAAGATTCAGAATCCTTGCCTCCAAGGAACAACTTAGTTTCAACTTCTCCAGGTCAGACTTTGTTCTGTTGGCAGTCCATGGTATCTTCGGTATTCTTTTCTAGCACCACAACACAAAGGCATCTTCTTCTGTCATCCTTAATCATTGTCCAGCTCTCATATGCATAGCAAATAATTGCAAAGACCATGGCCTGAATCAGGCGCACCTTGGTCTCTAGACTGACATTATTGCTCTTCAGCACTACTCCGAAGAGGTCTCTAACAGCAGATTTTCTCAATGCAATTAGTCTTTTGATTTCCTAACTGCTGGTGTCAAGAGTGTTGATTGTGGAACCAAGCGAACTGAAATTGTTAACAATCTCAATATCTTCTCCATCTCCATAGTGTTGTTGTTGTTGTTGTTGCTATGTGCCATCAAGTCACCTGCTACTTATAGCGACCCTATGTACGACAGCCCTAAACCCAACTCTATCGTGTGCCAATCTCATTGTCTCCAACACACCCACTCCCATTATCCCAGTCATTGAATCAATTCATCTCATCGAGGGTCTTCCTCTCCTGTGTTGTCCCTCCAGCCTACCAAGCATGATGTCCCTCCCCAAGGATTGGTTCCTTCTTGCAACATGTCCAAAGTATATCAGATGAAGCCTCAGAATCTTTGCCTCCAGGAAGCAGTCTGGTTTCACCCTCTTTAGGATGAACCTGTTTGTTCTCTTAGCAGTCCATGGTATATTCAATACTCTTCTCCCACACCACAGCTCAGGGCATCAATTTTCTATCATCCCTAGTCATTGTTCAGCTCTCTGATGCATAGCAAGTGATTACAAAGACCATGGCTTACATAAGGTGCACCTTAGTCTCCAGACTGACATCATTGCTCTTCAGTATTTTGGCGAGGTCTCTAACAGCAGACTCTCCCAATGCACTATGTCTTTTCATTTCCTGGCTGCTGGTGCCAAGAGTTTCGACTATGGAGCCAAGCAAACTAAAGCTGTTAACAATCTCAATCTCTTCACCATCTATCATGATGCTGCTAATTGGCCCAGTGGTGAGAAGCTTTTGTTTCCTTGGTATTGAGCTTCAGTCCATGCTGTTCTTGACCTTCTGCAGCAAGCACACTTCGGGTCCTCCTCAGTTTCAGCAAATAGGTTGTGTCATCTGCATAACACAGACTGTTGATGAGTCTTCCTCCAATTGTTCACCATTACAAGCTCTACAAGTAGTGCAGCTCACATAATAGACATACAAAGAATTTGTATTGAATGAGGGCATCGTTAGTCATTTAAAAAGAAGCTCTTAACAAAACTTTCAGGGAGTTCTGGTGGCTAGAGGACAAGAAGTTACACTCCAACCTAAAGATAAGCAAGTCAAATTCATCAGTTGCTTCCTGGAAGAAAATGGATAATCTCCTCCCATGTAATTTAGCTTCTGAAAACCCACTGGAAGGTCAGGCAGCAATTCGTTCTAACTCAACAGCACAGAGCAACAACAATAAAACTTCAAAAAAAATTTGTTGTAAAATTAATTCAAATTATGTTCCTAGATATACTCATTATTTTAAAGATGTTACTTTAAGCTGAAAAGCAATAAATTCAGCCTTTCTCCATTATTTTAAGTTTTTAAAAAATTCACTAAATAAACAAGTTCTACTGGTCACCTACTTTCACCTGGAACTAGAAGCACCTGATAGGAAATAGATAGCACCCTACGGATAGAAATATTTTAAATCAATTTCTTACAGAATATTTTGTCTAAGCAAGTCATATGGTTTGATGTTTTATAGTAAATGTCTGACTCATAAGTCTGGCTAACCACAAATGGTCAGTAAATGATACTTTCAAATCTATCTTTTTCTAATGGTTTCCTCCTGTGCAATTAACTGCCTCTGAAAAGCCACTGGGAGCATCAGCTTTGGGTTGGTTCCTACTCAATGGTATAAAGAAACAACAGTGCTTTATGACTGGGCATACAATTGTCTAAAAGAACTGTGCACATATAACACGACATACTCTAAATAATCAGTGTCAGGACTGGACAAATAATTGGTAGTACTCACCAAAAACAAAACCAAACAACACTAACCAGTTGTTCTGAAGTCAGTTCCAACTATGGTGACCTCATGTAGCCCTTATGTGAAATGAGAGGAACAAAAGCTGGGGAATGATTAGAAGAATGGATAAAGGCCTTGGCCCATCTTGGTTTTGGCTTTGTATCATGTCTCTCTTATTACTAATTTTGCAATCGTAAGCAAGTAATGTAAGACAGAGCTTTCGTTGCCTTATCTGAAAAAATTGGCCCATTAAGAATGAATAGATAATAAATACTCCACTGGAATGAGTGAAAGGAAGGACATTCAGAAAGAAATGGACAATATTGTCATGTGCATGACAATAAATAGTCGTATTAGGTGAAAGGGGGGGAGGTGTGCATGAATTAATGAACAATTAAAATAAATATGAAATGTAAAAATTTTAAAAAGAATTCATTATATTCTTCTAAGGGACTACTAACAAATACTTTTTTTAGTAGAGCATTTAGTCAAGTGTCTATCACAAAATTGAGGTTAACATGAGCTGCCGTTTTTATTAACAGAGTGAAAGGATCCAGAATCTACCTCTGTTTGATTTTTATGAGTATGCCTTCGTGCATTTTCTGCAAAAAGGCAGTTCTCTCAGCCTAGTGAATACTCAGCCAGAGGGGAAAGTAGATCAAAAGAGGTAGCAACTGTGGTTTCTGGCATCAAGTGCATGTGCTGGAGGTCAGATGGCTTACAAAGCCACCTGAAAGCTGTGTTAACCCAGAAGCAAACAAGCCTGAGAATAACAACCAAGGTCCTGAGCTCCTCATGGGGCTCAAATGAGCTTTCTAACTTCTTCCTTCTTCCATTTCCTCATCTTTAAAGCAAGCAGTTGATCAAATGCTTCTGGTTCCTGGTAGCTCTAAAAGCACCACTATTTTATTATTCTAATTCAGTCTCACTGTATTTGAGTGGGTTTGCATTCCCTCTATTAATGAAGCACTGGCTCCTTTATATATCTGAGATAACAAAGATGATAGTAATCTTGGTCTTCCTATCAGCCACTGTTATGCAGCTTCAACTGCTAAAAAAATGCAAGAGTGTATGTGGAGAGGGAATGGTCAAAGGGAGACACCTGCTTTTCAGGTCATGATATATGATGCTTTAGTTAGCTCCAAGAATCTTAAGAAATCCTTTGTTTAAAAAAGGGGGAGGGAATGAAAAACTGTTATTCATTTGTCAACTTTACTGGAAGAAATCTAATAGTCTGGTTATTAGAGATTTTACATCCTCTTACACAGAAACAGGGAGTTTTCCGGCCCAGTAGTAAGAAGCTACACTGCAAACCCAAAGGCATGTGGTTTAGGTCCACCAGCTCCACTGCAGAAGGATGGGCAATTTCCTCTCGTGCAATTTACTGCCTCTGAAAACCTGCTAGAGGGTCAGTTATGAGTCGGTTCAGACTTGATAGCACACGGCAACAGCAAGAGGTAGAAACAGTATGTCTCAACGTCTTCCCTTCCGTAGCTTGTATGTCTCTAAAATTTAGACTGGTTTAAACTTACATAATTGTACAAGTTTCAAGGACTCTGCAGAGTGTTCCCATAAAGAATAGCAGAAATGTGAGCCCAGGGAAATGTCTCTAAAAAGAATGCTTCATTTGCTGTGAAAGTGGACTAGAAATGTAGAGACAAATAAAACCCCAGTGAGGAATGCTGGCTGAAAAGGACTAAACCGACAAGAAGGGGTAACATCAGAAAATATGAGAATTGCACAGGTGGAAGCTGGCTCAAGCTAAAAGGAGGAAAAGCTTTGCTGTAGGTCCCAGTTAGTCATTCACAACCCACCAGCAAGCCGATCCCTGGTCCTCTGCGCTGGAACTCAAAACTGCCTGCTGTGTCTGTGCTCTGGGCACCAAACTAAATATACTGCCACAACTACTCCAGTTAATGCTGACATTTTGATATAGCACTGTATCAAGCAGTGATCATTGTTTTCAAATTCTTTGCACAGTGTATCAGTAGAAACATGCACTCAAATGAGTATTAATTATTTAATATTTTTATTTACATTTGCCTTCAAGTGCTTCTATTTAAAGCATCTTAAAAGACTATAAAATTAAATCTTCATTTGATTTATTGCAGATTGTATAATAAAATTTGGTAAACATTAACAAAAGAGCTATGATATTCTTTGAAGTGGTTTTTTGGCATCTCAAGGTCTTTCGTGGGTATGTTTCCACAGGGATTACTTTCAGTATTATAACAGAAGTAATGGGAAAATGCTTTACACATAAGTTTAACAGAAATCTTTCCTTAGAACCCGCCAGCCTTTCCACAGGAAAAAGATGAGCAATCTGTTCCCATCCAATTTTAAGCCTCAGAAACCAAGTGGAAGGTCAGTTATGAGTCAGTTACGACATCACAGAAATGAGTTGAGAATTTTCTCAGAAGCAAAATTACCACACCTTTTTCTCCTGGAGCTGAGAGATTCAAACCAGTGACCCTCTAGCAACCAATTAGCGTAACTGCTATACCACCAGACCTCCTTCATCCAAACATAAATGATGCTACTTAGTTAAAATATATCGTCCACATAATTAAAATTATATAAACTTCTTGTTTATGAAAATGGTAGTCTTACCTTTTCAAGTTGATTCATTTTGGTGAAACATAGTGCTCTGTTATAAAATGCTATGTAATTGTTCTTGTCCATGTTGATAGCCGTAGTTAAGTCTGAAATTGCTAGTTTATACATCTACAAAGGAAACATGATCAGATGAGGACAAACAATAATGGATTCGTTTCATTTTAAAATAAATTCTTGATTCTTTCACAGGTTTTGGAACAGACATTTTACACTGCCCCCTGTGAATCAACTGTGAAGTTAAACAGGCTAATATTTCAGAGAGTTAATTAAGAGGACCTCCTAGTAGGAATTATTATAGTTTCTAGCACTTGCAAATAAAATATATGAACAAACTTAAATCAATCATTATTGAGGTTGCATTGTAACAAAGAGAAAAGCTTCCATATTGGTAAAAAAAAGCGAGCTAAATTCATCTAGCAAAATCACCAGAGCCTCCTCTCGTGTCACTCATTCTGTCATAGCGCATAATTGTAATGTTTTCTACCCACGTTCTCGTTTGCTTCCTATTTGAATCTTCTCTGATACCTTATATCATCCATTTCTATAGATAGTAATTTTCATGGAATTAACATGTAATGCAAGGTCTTACTTTTGCTTTAAGGTATTATTTGCAAAATATTTCATATGAAATAGCTCCAATAAAAAGGTCAGAAAAGGAAAATAGGGAGAAACAAAGTATTCCTGGAAATATCAGATGTAGTGGTGCTATTCCCATGCTCTACGAACCAGTAATTACCATTAAAAACTAATTATAGGTTCAAGCACTTATTTTTTTAATTTAGTTGTTGCATATCTGTTGTGTATTATTGAGTCTGAACTGACCCATACCCAACCCTCCACTGGGTTTTCAGACACAGTTAATTGCATAGGAAAAGACTGCTCATCCTTTCCCTGTGGAAAAGTTGGTGTGAACCATGTGCCTTTCAGATTACAGCACAGTTTCTTACCACTTGGTCACCATGTATTATTTTAAATAATTAGCAAAAAATGAAAAGACTAAAATGTCCAGTAGCGAAGTAGTTTAAAATATGCAGATTATTTTGGAAATCGTAAATCTGCCTTCAAAGATAAAAAAGCAAGATACAGTACAAAATTACATAAGTAGCATAATTCCAATTCTACAACATGTATGTCATGAAGTATCAGGAGGAAAACATTAATCAAAAATATATTTTCCAAATTATTTATGATTAATATAATGTTGTGTTGTTTTTGTGTACCGTAGAGTCAGAATCAACCCATACCTGACTCTCCAGTGGGTTTTCAGAAGCAGCTGATTGCTCGAGAGGATATTCCTCATTCTCCCTTGGAGCAACTGGTAGATTTGAACCATGTGCCTTTGGGATTGCAGTGCAACGTCTCACCACTAAGCCACCAGAGCTCCTTATACTTTATTAAAAATAATCGTTGTTGTTGTTGGTGGTGGTGGTGATGGTTGCCGTTAAGTCAAGCATTACTCATAGAGACCCTATGAACAAAAGACCTGAAGTCTTTCTGTAACTACTGTCATTTCTCAAAGTGTTATTTAAAATGTAAATGTGACAATTTTGTGGGGAAATGACCAATTAAAATATCTTCTGCAGCACTGTGGATGTGTACTGTTCTTTATAATTCTGCCTTTCTTACCAGGTTGAAACTCTTATCACAGAGAACAAAAGGAAATGCTCCTTTGCACCCTGAAAACTCAATCGCCCAGCCTTAAATCCCAGTTAAAGAGGCAGGAAATGGCCCTACCTTAGTGTAGTATTTCAGAACTCCTCTGTAGAGATAGGCACGGACACTCTGAGGATAAATTTTTATAGCCTCATTACAATTTAAGATTGCTTTGGAGTATCTGCCTTTCAAACCATAGTAGGCACCTCTGCTTAAATATGCCTTATCAGAAAGAGAAGGAAATCAGAAAGAAATGTTTTAATAACAGCATCAATTTAACCAAAATACACAGTAATTTAAGTTAATCTATGCCTTCCACAGTTGATATAAGATCACTCTCTTTTTTTACCAAAAAATTCAAATGCAATAATTGAGAAAACTATACAGTGAATCCATACATCATTACTACATTGAATAAACTTTAATATTTTGCCATATTATCTATTTCCACTGAAAATAAGTTATAGAAGTCATGATTTTTCACCTCAGATCCCTCAGCATGTTCCTCTTGTGAAGAAAAGCATTAGCTCACAGACACAAAGCCACCAAGAAAAAAAAAAGTTATTGCCTAAAATCAGCGAACTCTCCATATTTAAATTCTCCAATTAAGAAAAAAATATGGGTGTTTTATGTTGCTGTTGTCAGATGTCCTTCAGTCAATATCTACTCATAAAGCCCCTATATACAACAGAACAAAACATTTCCCAGTCCTGTACTATCTTTGAGTCTAATGTTGAAAACATTGTGTCAGTGCATCTCATTAAAGGATTTTATCTTTTTCTCTGACCAAGTTGCACCTAATCCAAGCCATAGTCTTTTCAATCACTTTCTATGCATCTGAAAGTTGAATAATGAATAAGGATGTGGAAGGAGAAGCAATGACTTTGAGTTGGAGTGTAAGAAAAGAGTACTGTCTACCCCAATGACCGTCAAAAGAACAATCAAGTCTTAGAGAAATTGCAATCAGAGTGCTCCACAGAGGCAAGGATGGTGGAAGTTCCTCTAACTCACTTTGGGTGTGCTGTTGGAAGGTATCAACCCCTGGGAAAACACATCATGCTGAGAAAGGTGGGGTGTCAGAGAAAGAGAGGAAGACTCTCACCGAGATGGACTGACACAGTGACTGTAACAGCAGGGTAAAGTATATCCAAGAAGGATGGTGCAGGAGAGAGCAGGGTTCAGATCTGTTGTTTGCAGGGTCTCTATGAGTCTTAGGTAACCAAATGGCACCTAATAACAATCACAACTACTATTTTACCAAGCAAGGTATCCTTCATTAGGGATTGGCCCCTCCTGATAACATGAGACAAAGACTCTTCATCTTCCCTTCTAAGGAGTGTTCTGACGGTACTTCTTCTAAGACAGGTTTGTTCATTCTTATTCTGTAATGTGGTCTGTAGGAAGTGTCACTGATAACCCAAAGGTAGCACTTCGCTGGCAGTAGACTCCACTAGCAGCTCCACAGGAGAAAGATGGGAAAACTCTTTCCATGGGATTTACAGCCTCTGGAAAACATTCTGGAGAGTTAGCTATGACTAATAAGTGAGTGTTCTTCTGCTCCTTTTTGTTGTTGTTGTGTACTGTTGAGTCAGAAGAGACCTATAGCTGACCCTCCAGTGGGTTTTTAGAGGCAGCTGACCACATGGGAGGAGATTGCCCAATTTCTCATGCAGAACAGCTGGTGGATTCCAACCGTGTGCCTTTGGGATTGCAGTGCAGCTTTTTACCATTAGACCACCAGAGTTCTTATTTGATGGTTAATATTCTTTTCCAACACTATAGTGCAAACACATTATTCTTCAGTTTTTATTCCTTGTTGTCACACATTTGAGTTAATCAAAAATTTGGTTTAGCCCAGGTACACTATAGTTCTTAGAATAACAGCTTTGTTTGTCAACCCTTTAAAGTGGTGTTTTTACAGCAGATTTGCACAATTCATCATTTGATTTCTTGACTGTTGCTTCCATTATCATTGACTGTAAGAAAACAAATTCTTGACAAGTTTCCTCCATTTACCACGATGCTTATCAGTCCCAGGATTTTGTTTCTTTTTTTAAATTTTTTATTATTTTTTATTGTTTTTTATGTGTGTTTATCGTCAAATCTGATCTGACTGATAGAGAAGGAGATTGCCCCTCCTTCTCCAGCAGAGCATCTGGTGGATTCGAACCACATGTCTCTGGGATTGCAGTGCAGCTACTTGCCACTAGGTCACCAGAGCTCCCCTGTTTCTTTTTTTATAATGAGGTCTAATCTATATTGAAAGCTTGAGTCCTTAATCTTTCATCTGTGTTCAGAGATTTTAAAAATCAGGATGTTGTTGTTGTTGTTATGTGCCGTCGAGTTGCTTGTGAATCATAGCAACCCTATGTACAAGAGCCCTAAACTCCGCTCTGTCCTGTGCCAGTCGCGCTGTCTCCGACACACCCATTCCGATTACCCCAGTCACTGAATCAATCCACCTCATAGAGGGCCTTCCCCTCCTGCACTGTCCCTCCACCCTCCAAAGCATGATGTCCCTCTCCAAGGACCGGTCACTCCTTACAACATGTCCAAAGTATGTTAGACGAAGCCTCAGAATCCTTGCCTCCAAGGAGCCGCCCGGTTTAACCTTCTCCAAGATGAATCTGTTTGTTTTCTTAGCTGTCCATGGTACCCTCAATACTCTTCTCCAGCCCCAAAGCTCAAAGGCATCAATTCTTCTTCTATCCTTTCTATCCTCCTTAGTCATTGTCCAACTCTCTGATGCATAACAAGTGATTGCAAGACCATAGTCTGTATCAGGCATACCTTAGTCTCCAGAGAGACACCATTGCTCTTCAGTATTTTGGAGAGGTCCCTAACAGCAGACTTTCCCATCGCAATACGTTTTTTTAATTTCCTGGCTACTGGTGCCGAGATTGTTGTCTGTGGAGCCAAGAAAACTAAAGCTGTGAACAATCTTAATCTCTTCACCATCCTTCCTGATGCTGTCAATTGCTCCAGTGGTGAGAATGCTTGTCTTCTTGACATTGAGCCTCAATCCATACTGAAGGCTGCAGTCCTTGACCCTCTGCAGCAAGCGCTTCAGGTCCTCCTCAGTT